GAGTTCTGAGTACAATCAAAGCACCACGACTGCAGTTTTTGTGTTTGATGTAAAAAGCGCACGTGACGCTGTGACGTAGGCTAGAATCATGGCGGCGAGTTGGAAATAACACAAAATTTCCTCAAGTGGCCTTTTGGTCGTTGCTCACTGCCACAGAAACTTTGTGCTGCAAGAAACAAACGTTACAAAAAACTGTTCAACCTGTCGATCAATGAGTTTCCTTTGGCACCCGGAGTAATACAGTTAGTTTGTAATGTGACTGCTGCAGTCAGAGCTTTGTACTGTATGTTTGTTCCAGATCACTCAGTGCATTCAGCTCTGACACTGTCCATCCGTTTGAAGATTAAATCAAATCAGTTTGACTGTAAATCCATCAGGATACCAAAGTAAACTCTGTCCTTTACACTGCTGGGTCCAAACTCCTACTCCATTCATTGGAGGTATTGAAATGTTTTGTATCTTTTTATTTAATAGAAACAAGCTCCTAAAAATAATCTTTGATTATTGCAGGCGTCTTTGTTAATGTGCATTGTAGCTCTAAGCGCATGAGGCCACAGTTTGAACAGACACCAAATATTTAAATGGTTCAGAAAAGAAAGATGCAACTAAGATTTGAATGTGTACATGACACCTCAGTTTAGGATTTGTATAGTAAATTATATGATGAACCTTGCTGTGGATGGACGATCACGGACGTGCTCTTGAGTGAAGTTTGGCCCACCGTCAGCATCTTTGCCGTATGATTGCATTTGTCTCTGCCTCACAGTTTTATTGAGGCGATAAAACATTAATGCTCATCCTCCATCTTTGCTCTGCTAATGTGCTCATAGTATTATAACCATAGCTAGTCACCAGGTAGTGCACTATTATATGCTCTCTGCTCTTTATCCTCACCCACAACTATGGACACGCCTCCCTGAGCCTGATTCTGTTGAAGGTTTCTTCCGGTCAGAGTTTTACACACCCCAGGGTCACCGGGCGCTTGTTCACTGCAGGTTGTGTGATTGTTTTGGTTTCTTTCACAGGTTGTGTCTTGGGGCACGTGCAGTCATGTCAAAGAGAGAAGAAACTCCAGTGCTGTGCATGAACAGAGATGGGTTACTGCTCTCAGCTTCTGTCAGCTGCACTAGCCTCCAGTTTTTGTCCCCTCGTGATTTGGAGCAGCTCACCATAACATAGCAGGTTGGCCCCAAACTCTGCCTGCAAGAGTCCTTTTTAAAAAGGAGCTGAGGACTTTTAAATGTAGTTCAAGCACAGGTCAGCGAGGGAAGGCAATCATGCTCAGACCTAGTATGTCCCAAATCCTACTTAGGTGTTTATCAGCCATTATGCCAGGTCAGTCAAACACACATCCACTAATCCGTCTTACTGGTTCCTGCTTTGGTGCCGACCAACCTGTCAAACCAGCCTGGAAGGAAAGTTTTGCATTTTGAAATAAAACAAATCTTTTCTGGTTGATAGTTTTTCTTATGCAGCCGTACACGAACCAGCTGCATGTCTCCTTCTCACATTCCTCGTCACTCTTGCAGCAGGTAAACATCATCAGCATGTTGCTGCTGCTGCCACCAGTGTGCTTTCCCACTCGTGCAGCATTGACCTGCTGGAATCCCGAGCTGAAGCCTTCACTTTCTACACAATCAAACACACAATCCTCTCGTGCTCTTAGTGCTTTGGTTTTCAACTTCGAACCAGCTC